TACGCTCATACAGAGTTACAGTATAGGGAATCCACAGGGGCAGGTCTACCCAGTCCTATAGGGGCGCTATGAGTGGGGATCAACTAGATGGCAATGGTTATCCTTGGGCTGCGATCCTCATGGTCTGCAGTTTCAAAGCACAAGCATCTCTGCCGGAGAAAGACTCTACTCCCATAAGGAGTTGGCATCGACTCCATAGCAGTGAGATTGGTTTAGTTCAAGAATGCTTTCTCTGAAGGTTCACAGCCTGAAGAACTCCAGCTTTCTGACCCATCAGATCTAGACCATGTCTGAGTGGGAAAAAGTAAAATGGAAACTGACAAAGTTTTTTGTGACACGCAAGCTAGTTTCCAAAATAAGAGAAAAGAATGTTTTCACTCTTTATATTAAAAGTGGCAAATAAGCTAAGTAGCTAAAAGAATCCACTTCACTTAACCATGACCATAACATTAAGAATCAAATCTATGAAATAAAGTCCCCGTCAGCAGTCTGGGAGCCCTGGCAGTACACTGGTTACGTGTTGTGTTGGGCCGTGATCTGCATGGTTGGCAGTTCAAAACCACCAGTGGCTCGGCGGGAGAAAGACTGGGCTTTCTACTCTCATTAACAGTTAGTCTCAGAAACCCACAGGAGGTCGCTGTTGAGTTTGCTTGACTCGATGGCAGTGAGTTGGATTTTGGGGTGGTGCTGTCAGATAAGAGTTGGCTCAGTGTCGGGTAAAGTCCGTGGTTCAATCCCACCAGCAGCTCTGGAGAGCTGGAGAACGATGAGGCTGTCTGCTTCTGTCATGAATTACAGCCACGGACACCGCATAGGGCCACGCTGAGTCTGAATGGACCAGATGGCAGTGGGTTTGGTGTAATAAGCCCCCTGGTGGAGCTGGTGGGTAGTGCTGGACGTCCAACCTCAAGTAGTTCCAACCCACCCATCCGTCTCCCTGAGTCATATGGTAGCTATGAAATGAAACCCATATTTTTTGTGAACAGGCATGGAATGAGATGACTGGGTTATACAATGCTCAGTCCTTGCTTTGGTCAACGGGGCCCTCTTTTGTGCATGACCTGCGCAGGTGCTTACCTTCCTTATTGGAGAATCCGTCCCTGGGAGAAGGCCGGTGCCTTCGGAATGAGCACAATGAAGGGCTCTGGAATTCCCACTCTTCTCAAGGCAATACATGGATTGTGATGATCCGCACAGCCAAATGCTTGGCAGAGTCAATAAACCCAAGTAAACATCTCTCGGCATTTCCAGTTTTCAGCCAACATCCATGTGACATGAGCAATGATATCCCTTGTTCCATGTCCTCTTCTGAGTCTGGCCAGAACCTCTCGGTGCTCCCTGTTGATGTACTGCTACAACTTTTGCTGGATGATCCTTGGCCTGGAAGCCTAGCTTGCCCTGTGTGCGTGAGTGGGC